GAATGATGATAAAAGTATTTTCTTTTTGGGGATTTTCTTTCTTTTTTGGGTCACCCTGCCTCGGTGGGAGACGACCGACTTGTTGAAAAAAAAAAAAAAAAAAAAAAAAAAAAAAAAAATTATCTGACATTTACATGCATTTATAAGTGGGAAAAAATGGCATTCTGCTTTCCGGCGATGCCTGCTTTCCGACAGTAGCCTGGAACCTAACTTTCCATATAAGTGGGGCCCTACTGTATTTTGAAAGCTCAGATAATTTAAATAGTAGACCAAAAAATTTTGTGTGTTCAACTTTCTGTAGAGCTTTAATTTTGTGAGAACAATTTTCAATACATTTATGTGAATTCTGTCTGTTATTTTCATAATTTAAGTACAGTGGAACCTCGGTACTCGAACAGCTCCGTACTCGAACAATTCAGTAATCGAACGATTCGCTCGGTAAAAAAAAATCGCTCGGTAATTGATCACTTGCTCGGCACTCGACCAAACAAGCACAACCTACCAGAACATGTACATCAGTCTCCTGAGAGATGTTGCTCAGTCCAAAACTCCGCTGAACTTCACTGTAAACTATTTCACATTTCTTCGCATTTTTTTAATATTTGTATAAATAAGTCACCATGGTGCCTAAGAAGATTAGTGATAACAGTCAACCAAAAAGAAAATTGGTTAGTGTGTTTGACCTGATGTAAACACTGCCTCCGTCTCTCCATATAATATGCCTTTTATTAATTTTGGTGTCTTTACTGTGCTTCTAGGTTATCTATCATGTTTCCCATATCAAGTTGGAAGAAGTGTGATAGTATCTGGCTATCAAGACAACTCGTCAGATACGGAATGCTCCTTCTGCTGGCCCCTCCCCCTCTCTCCTATAGCTCCTCCCACTTCGGGCCCTCCTATTTTATGCTTGCTTTCCATTCTGAATTTTTATTCAAACAAAAAATAGAAGATTTACTGTTATGCAGACTACTGCATTATTAAAAAAAATGGTATATATATTATCAGTGCATTTGTGAAAGCACATTAGACCCACCAGATGATGTGTATCGGATGCATGACGTGCTTTGTTTACTCTTGAACATCAGCAAAAATCAAATATTTCTGCTACTTTGAGCTCAATTTCAAGGTACTTTTAGTCAGTAAACCATCCAAAATCATATCTATCTCTGTAATATATCTTTCATCCTATCAAATGAGACCAAGAAAACAAGATTGCAATCATAAATACCATACAAAAATACACCGCAAAGTCGCTGTAAGTGTATTTTTGGGGGTTGTAAAATGGATTAATCAAATTTACATTGTTCCTTATGGGAAAAACTCTTTCAACACTCAAACAGATCAGCACTTGAACAGCCTTCTGGAGCGAATTAAGTTCGAGTACCGAGGTTCCACTGAACTTTAAGTGTATAAAGGCACCAATAATAGTTAGCTTTTAATATGCTGGAGCATTAAATATAAAAACCTGTCCCACCTATGAATACACATACAGTAGACCGTCACTTAATACGGTAGTTACGTTCCTGAAAACGCCGTGGTAGGTAAAACCATGTTAGATGAACTGAAGAACTTATGGGAAAAATAGGGTTACATTCCTGAGTGCCCCAACAAACTTTTTTTTTTAAGCCTCCACATCTTACAAAAATAAAAGTGAATATGTAATTGTTCACTGTTGTGATGTATTATGTTGTTTTTACTGCTTAAGACCACAAATGTAACAAATTATAGTATTTCTTACCTTAAATTGTGGGTGCTGGTGTTTGTGGATGATTGTGAAGAGAGTGGGGAGTTATGTTGTGGTCCTACTGGGCTGAGGTGGATGGTAGAGGTTCTGGTACTGAAGTTGATGGTTGTACTGGAGTGTCTAAGTCATTCAGTCAGTAAGTCAGGTCATTAAGCCAGGTCATTAAGTCTGGTCATTAAGTCAGTCAAGTCATTCAGTCAGTCAAGTCTTTCAGTCAGTCAAGTCATTCAGTCAAGTCATTCAGTCAGTCAGTCAAGTCATTCAGTCAGTCAGTCAAGTCATTCAGTCAGTCAGTCAAGTCATTCAGTCAGTCAGTCAAGTCATTCAGTCAGTCAGTCAAGTCATTCAGTCAGTCAGTCAGTCAAGTCATTCAGTCAGTCAAGTCATTCAGTCAGTCAAGTCAGTCAGTCAGTCAGTCAGTCAGTCAGTCAAGTCATTCAGTCAAGTCATTCAGTCAGTCAAGTCATTCAGTCAGTCAAGTCATTCAGTCAAGTCAGTCAAGTCAGTCAAGTCATTCAGTCAGTCAGTCAAGTCATTCAGTAAGTCAGTCAGTCATTCAGTAAGTCAGTCAGTCAGTAAGTCACTAAGTCAGCCATTCAGCCAGCCAGCCATTCAGCCAGCCAGCCATTCAGCCAGCCAGCCATTCAGCCAGTCAGTCATTCAGCCAGCCAGCCATTCAGCCAGCCAGTCAGTCACACAAACTAATGTTTACCTCTTTTTAAGTGTACAAAGTAACACTTCATTAAGGCCACAGGTTATCTCTTCTTTAATATCTTTGTTTTCTTCATTAATTCTAAGACTTCTATGCGTATACCTTTTCTTGCCACTTTCAGCAAGATTAAAACAATTCACAAACACAGCTAGCGTGTAGCAGAGAAGTAGGACTGGACACACATGAAGTACGAATGTTGGGATGGTGGGGTGATGTCGGGGGTTGGCAGGGGATGGTGGGAGGTCTCCCCCGCTGATCCACAACAAGGCGGCCACTTGAGGAAAGGGGGATTTTTTTTTTCCTTCCCACAAACTGAACAGTTAAATTAATTTTACGACGTGTTACATAAAAATGTGCCGCAATTCTTCAATCATGCTATATCTGAATCATGTCAAAGTCGTGCTACATGACTGTCTACTGTATATAAAAATGGAAGTTGTCAATTATCATCATATTCTGTAGCAAACTTAATGAAGATAACAGTTTAATCCAAGAAAAAAATAATTCTGACTTTCATTCACAAGCCACAAAGTATACTGCTGATACATGTTCCTTGCAAATACTTGGATGACTTCTTTTAAGACTGAATTAATAAAATCCAAAAGTATGAAGTATGTCAACAGTAGAAACTAATGAAATACTGCACACTGATTAATGCAATTAAATTAAAACTTCTGTTCCTAAAAACTGAGAAGGTAATGAAGATACCCTTGACAGTGACATTAATAAAACAAAAACTAAAACTAGAGCATCATCATAACCTTCTTTTTCTGGATACTAGCAAACCCTATATATAAGTCCTATACATACCTATTATAGTTTAATTGATAAATTATGCTCAGTAAGTGGAGAATTATCACTTTTTCACTGATAGGAAGCACTTCATGGCTTCTCTTTGGCTTTAAAGAATTGCCAGCTTCTCTAGTTTGTGCTTTGGGGCCATTATTATACAAAATTAACAGGTATTTTTGTGCTACAGTAAACCGTAGATAACAGAAACCTCTGATACCGAATCAGTGGATGCGGGAGTTCTACTGTAATCATTAATAAACCAACTTTCATCTATCCAAATCAAGAAAGCATTGAAAATCAATTTAATGTTCATCATTATTATAGTTATATTATGTTGATTATCATGTTATATAAAAATGCTAAACCAATAAGAATTATACAGAGCCTGAGGCATAGAAGACAATTTGTTATGGTTAAAAGAAATGAACAATTACAATTCCTTGGATCAAGAACCATTCACTATCATCAAAGAACCTTCCTTAAAAGGGAGAAGCACCAGGAGAATGAAGGTAATCAGGTTTGATGAAAGGAAAGATAGCTCCAATTCCTTGGATTAAAAGCCAGCATATGGGACACCTACCCTTCTTCAGGAAAAACTGCCAATAATGAATAATAATATTGAAGTGTTAATTACTAAGTGGTGCACAACTGTAGGTATACCTTACCCAGTTTATTACACAATTATGGATATTTTCATCACTATCCCATCTCTGGAGAACCATGACACCCAGGATGAATACTAGTGATGCTCCCATGGCACCCAGGATGAATATTAGTGATGCTGCCATGGCACCCATGATGAATATTAGTGATGCTGCAATGGCACCCAGAATGAATACAGTAATCCTGAGAGTGCAAAGAATGAATCTCTGATGGCATTAAAGAAGGTGCTATTTTTAATATATTTTGTGGTGGTCCACAACTGTAGGTATGATGCTTTATATAAGAACATAAGAAAGGAGTACTGCAGCAGGTCTGCTGGCACATGCTAGGCAAGTACAACTCATACCCACCAACATTCACTTATGTACTTGTCTAACCTATTTTTATAATTACCCAAGGCTTTTGCTCTTTATTAAAAGATTGTGGATATTTTTGGCACCTCTTCTCATTTCTGGATATTAAACATGGCACTCAGAAAGAATACTAATGATGCTGGAGGTGTCAAGAATTAATTTTTCAAGGTATTGACAAAGTGCACAACTAGAGCCAACCAGAATTTAACTAAGAAAGAAATGGTTTTAAAAAACTTTTTTGTTTTAGCTGTATGTACTTTATTTTAATTATATGCACTTCATTAAAATTATATATTTTTTAGAATTATGAGACAAAGTTTGTGAGGCTCTCTCTAGGTGTCAGGAACATAACCCTATTTTTTCCTATATTTTTCAATTCATTTACCACTTTCTTGTAACACACATTCAGGAACGTAACCCCCTATGTTATTTGAGATTCCACTGTATTTCATAAAAAAAAAAAAAAATCCTTTTTAAGGCACTAGAAGCTTTCGTTTTTCAGCACTTTAAACATATTTTGTTAGGGACATCATCAAATTTACACTATTAATACCAACTTGCTACTGTCTTGACCAATTAAGTGGCCTATTACAGAAATCGTAGTTAATGCAAGTAAAATTACTAAAAAATCCAGTTACCATAATCCATGTCCATAAATCATTCCGTGTAATCAGCCAGGTCTTCAGAGAATTTGAGTGACATTATAAAAGTAAATTTAACCACCTAATTTACATACCTTAGCAAATGCAGTTTTTCCAGCAGCGATTGGACCATCCACAACAATTATTTTTGAGTTTTCATCAAAGCGATGGGTTGTTTTATCAAACACTGCTTGAAGAAAACCATAGTTACTTGTCTTGTACGGGTACGGTTTAGGGCGTGTATAGTCCTTATCACGCAAAGTCTTACTTACTATAGTTGCCACCTGGAATACAAGATGTAACAGATAAACAATATTCTAGTTAGTTCTTCACTTCAATGGAAGGGGTGTCTTGATGCAGAAGGGCTCTTGATCCAAGTGATTAGTTACCCCTCCCTTTCAATGAATCAAAACTTGATTACCCCCCTGTTCCTAAGGAGTTATACTGCCCTATCAGATTTAATGCTTTCCTGTAAATATACAACATGAAGTCAGTTCTTATTCTGACTTAATAAAATGTTTTATAGACCTGGATAGTCACACACAGCAACAAAGCATATCAAATATTAAAAAATATAAACATACAGTACATATAGCAGCATGATACAGTATACAAGTAAAACTTAGTTTTTAATCAATGCATTGTATTTAAAACAATATATTTTATACTGCATTAAAATACACTGTATAAACAATAACTATCTTTTAATTCCTTCATTGTCCAACACTCCAAAATTAAAAGTGCTATGTCCAGATTTAAAAAAAAAAAAAATCTTCCAAAATGGAAGAGAATCTTTTACACACACCAAAAGTATGAAATTTGACGGAACACTTACTGAATTATGCAGGTGCACAGTTAGCGGTCTGGGAACAATTTACACTTTGGAAAGTACACCCACTTTGGGTCCTATTCAAGCTAATTCCACTGCTCAATTTGACCAAATTCTTAGCTATTTCACTAATATGCCATACCTTCTATCAATTGAGCACAAGAAATTGCCTGTGCAACTATCAAAACTATCCTGTAAAGTGCACAGCATTTCACCTTACATCGTTCCTCTAATACAGTGGAACCTTGACTTACGATTGTCCCACCTTACAAGTTTTTTGAGATACAAGCCATCAATGGGTCGATTGTTTGCTCTGAGTTAGGAGCCAACATTTGAGTTATGAGCCAGCTCCCCCCTCCCTCTTCCCCCTGAACCCAAAACCTGGACACCTCGCTTGTTTATCTATGATTTCATGCTTTAATTCCATGGAAATTATTCTCTTTTTCTTCTCAGAAATAATAATAATATATTATTATTAAAGTCACTCAGTAAGTCAGTCAAGTCACTCAGTCAGTCAAGTCACTCAGTCAGTCAAGTCAGTCAGTCAAGTCAGTCATTCAAGTCAGTCAGTCAAGTCAGTCAGTCAAGTCAGTCAGTCAGTCAAGTCAAGTCAGTCAGTCAGGTCAGTCAGTCAGTCAGGTCAGTCAGTAAGTCAGTCAGGTCATTCAGTAAGTCAGTCAAGTCACTCAGTAAGTCAGTCAAGTCACTCAGTAAGTCAGTCAAGTCACTCAGTAAGTCATACAGTCAAGTCAGTCAGTCAGTTCAGTCAGTCACAAACTCATGTTAACCTCTTTTTCTGTGTACAATGTAACACTTCAGTTACGGCTACAGGTTATCACTTGTTTAATACGTATCTTTGTTAATTCTAAGACTTAGTGCTTATACCTCTTCATGCCACTTTCAGCAACACTGGCATGGCTACTGGGTGTCATGATTGCTTGGCAAATACAAGATATAGTAATTAAAATATTGTAACACAATTGACAAACACAGCTGCCTTGTAGCAGAGAAAGATTGAACACGTATGAGTTAGGGATGCTGGGATGGTGGGGTGGTGTCGGGTAGTGGTAAGGGATGGCTCCCTAGCTGCTCTACAACAAGGTGGCCGCTTGAGCAAGAGATATTTTTTTCCTTCCCACAAACTGAATCATGTTAAATTAATTATACGTGTTACATAAAATTGTGCAGCAATTCTTCAATGGCATTCTACTGTATCATTATAATAACGATAGAGCTTCAGTTCCCTAAATTAATAATAATAATAATGATAGAACTTCAGTTCCCTAAATTAATAACAATAATCATTGTAGGTAGTAGGTTGGTAGACAGCAACCACCTAGGGAGGTACTACCGTCCTGCCAAGTGAGTGTAAAACGAAAGCCTGTAATTGTTTTACATGATGGTAGGATTGCTGGTGTCTTTTGTCTGTCTCATAAATATGCAAGATTACAGGTACGTCTTGCTACTTCTACTTACACTTAGGTCACACTACACATACATGTACACGCTTATTTATACACACTCACCTGAGTTTTCTTTGATTTTATCTTAATAGTTCTTGGTCTTATTACTTTTCCTTTTATATCCATGGGGAAGTGGAATAAGAATCTTTCCTCCGTAAGCCATGCGTGTTGTAAAAGTCAACTAAAATGCCGGGAACAATGGGCTAGTAACCCCTTTTCCTGTAAAGATTACTAAGAAGAATAAGAAGAAAATTGTCAAAGTGGGAAGTCTGAATGTGCGTGGATGTTGTGCAAATGATAAGAAAGAGATGATTGTGGATGTTATGAATGAGAAGAAGCTGGATGTCCTGGCTTTAAGTGAAACAAAGCTGAAGGGGGTGGGAGAGTTTCAATGGAGAGGAATAAATGGGATTAGGTCAGGGGTTTCAATTAAAGTTAAAGCTAAAGAAGGAGTAGCAATAATGTTGAAGGATAAGCTATGGCAGGAAAAGAGGGACTATAAATGTATAAATTCAAGAATTATGTGGAGTAAAATAAAGGTTGGATGTGAAAAGTGGGTTATAGTAAGCGTGTATGCACCTGGAAAAGAGAGAAGTGTAGAGGAGAGAGAGAGATTTTGGGAAATGTTGAGTGAATGCGTGGGGAGTTTTCAATCAAGTGTGAGAGTAATGGTGGTTGGGGATTTCAATGCCAAAGTGGGTAAAAATGTTATGGAGGGAGTAGTAGGTAAATTTGGGGTGCCAGGGGTAAATGTAAATGAGGAGCCTTTAATTGAGCTATGTGTAGAAAGAGATTTGGTAATAAGTAATACATATTTTATGAAAAAGAGGATAAATAAATATACAAGGTGTGATGTAGCACGTAATGAAAGTAGTTTTAGATTATGTATTGGTGGATAAAAGGTTGATGGGTAGGCTCCAGGATGTACATGTTTATAGAGGGGCAACTGATATGTAGGATCATTATTTAGTTGTAGCTACAGTTAGAGTAAGAGGTAGATGGGACAAGAGGAAGGTGGCAACAACAAGTAAGAGGGAGGTGAAAGTGTATAAACTAAGGGAGGAGGAAGTTCGGGTTAGATATAAGCGACTATTGGCAGAAAGGTGGGCTAGTGCAAAGATGAGTAGTGGGGGGGTTGAAGAGGGTTGGAATAGTTTCAAAAATGCAGTATTAGAATGTGGGGCAGAAGTTTGTGGTTATAGGAGGGTGGGGGCAGGAGGAAAGAGGAGTGATTGGTGGAATGATGAAGTAAAGGGTGTGATAAAAGAGAAAAAGGTAGCTTATGAGAGGTTTTTACAAAGCAGAAGTGTTATAAGAAGAGCAGAGTATATGGAGAGTAAAAGAAAGGTGAAGAGAGTGGTGAGAGAGTGCAAAAGGAGAGCAGATGATAGAGTGGGAGAGGCACTGTCAAGAAATTTTAATGAAAATAAGAAAAAATTTTGGAGTGAGTTAAACAAGTTAAGAAAGCCTAGGGAAAATATGGATTTGTCAGTTAAAAACAGAGTAGGGGAGTTAGTAGATGGGGAGATGGAGGTATTAGGTAGATGGCGAGAATATTTTGAGGAACTTTTAAATGTTAAGGAAGAAAGGGAGGCGGTAATTTCATGCACTGGCCAGGGAGGTATACCATCTTTTAGGAGTGAAGAAGAGCAGAATGTAAGTGTGGGGGAGGTACGTGAGGCATTACGTAGAATGAAAGGGGGTAAAGCAGCTGGATCTGATGGGATCATGACAGAAATGTTAAAAGCAGGGGGGGATATAGTGTTGGAGTGGTTGGTACTTTTGTTTAATAAATGTATGAAAGAGGGGAAGGTACCTAGGGATTGGCGGAGAGCATGTATAGTCCCTTTATACAAAGGGAAAGGGGACAAAAGAGATTGTAAAAATTATAGAGGAATAAGTTTACCGAGTATACCAGGAAAAGTGTACGGTAGGGTTATAATTGAAAGAATTAGAGGTAAGACAGAATGTAGGATTGCAGATGAGCAAGGAGGTTTCAGAGTGGGTAGGGGATGTGTAGATCAAGTGTTTACATTGAAGCATATATGTGAACAGTATTTAGATAAAGGTAGGGAAGTTTTTATTGCATTTATGGATTTAGAAAAGGCATATGATAGAGTGGATAGAGGAGCAATGTGGCAGATGTTGCAAGTATATGGAATAGGTGGTAAGTTATTAAATGCTGTAAAGAGTTTTTATGAGGATAGTGAAGCTCAGGTTAGGGTGTGTAGAAGAGAGGGAGACTACTTCCGGTAAAAGTAGGTCTTAGACAGGGATGTGTAATGTGTTGCAACCCCTGAATGGGTTGCAATGATTATTATGTATATATCTAATTATTACCTTTTCATTTAATTTTATATTGCTTATATTTGCGATAATAGCTAAATCGTAAATGTATTGCTTTATATTGTTATTTGACGTAGCTTCCTTTGTTAGGTAGGATGTAACATATTACGTGCTCAGTTCAAGTCTTGATTGTCTAACTACTGTAATTATCGCTTGTGGCTCGTTAGATTGCCGGCTTCTTGCTGGGCGACTGCTGTCCACGGAGTTATCACGTGATCGAGGGGGGGGGGTGTCCTCACCTCGCCTGAAGTATTCAGTCTGGTCTAGACTCTCTTGGTGGTTGGACAGATTGTCTGTCTCATTATTCTTGTTAGTTCTGTATAACTCTGTTCACAGAACATTGTATAGACTTAGTGATTTTCGACGTTGTACTGAGGTTGTGTGTCTCATAGACACTCGAAACATCTCAGGTCCTGAACTATAGCTTATGACCTAATTTGTACTGGTTTCTGTGTATTATCACAGTCGGGGATTTTCTTATGCTGAACTTAGATTCAGTAGTATGGGAGTTTTGTAACTTTTGTGGAGGATCTGCTGATGGTCCCTACTTAGTGTCGTTATATTATCTCCTTGTTCCTGATTCTGTGTCGCAGTTGCTTGTTGTATTGCTATTGGGCTTAGCATTCTTTTTGTTGTTCAAGCAGAC